CTCTGGGGAAGAACTGAGGGCCCAGAGGCTTGGGAAAAAAAAAAAAAAAAAAAAAAAAAAAGAACTTTGTTCTATGAGGGGTCCATGGCTGCCAAGTAGTCATCTAGCTTAATTCTTGGAAAAAAATGTTATTGCTAGAATTTTGTCTGTCCTGAGATCCTTGCAGCAAGCCCTCAGCCACCAGTGGGGCCAGGGAGCATCCTTTAGAGAGCAATCTCGCATGGCAGAATTGTGTCGGCGTGAAAACACAGCTACACCGAGCCTGCACTTCAGAGTGAAGTGGATTTATTACGTGGCCAGCGGGTACGGAGAAGCAGGTGGATTTTCAAGCGGGTACACCTACGGTAGGTGTTTGGAAGGACAGAGAGGAATAGCTGTCCGTATGCTGGGGACTTCAGCTTGCCACAGAGGATGTTCAGTAAAGACAGCGGGCTGCCCTCACGCCCTGCCTCTCCCGCAGCCGCTCGGCACTGCGGCTCCTGCCGGCGCTCCCCAAGGCGCTGTGGCGGCATCCGCAATTAGCCGAGCGCCACTGCAGGCTCTCAGCTGGGGCTCTCGCAGATGCCATTCGCCAGCTTGGCACAGGAGCTCTGCAGCTCCTCTGGAGGCACTTGGGATCCGCCTGAACCGAGGCTTTGGCTCGGCTCGGCGCTGCTCACTCTCCCGCTCTCCACGCAGGAACTGCCGATGGCGATTAACGTTACACCCACAGCAATGGCCCGGGCGACACAGCGCAAACCGCCGCGCCTTCCCGGAGCCTCCAGTGGCCTCCCCAGGGGCGCTTTTTTCCCTTCACTTTCCCGCAGGCAACGAGGCCGCAGCGGGAGGGCTCTGTGCCGGACTCGGCGGCCGTTCGCTGCCCGGGCTATGGCGGCTGCACCCCGAGCGCTGCCGAGTCCTGCAGCACCAGCGAGGGGGAGGCAGCAATGGGGCGGCCGCTCCGATCCCGGCTCCCTCCGTCCCTCGGCGGGCAGCTCCCGCCAGACAGCCGCTAGCAGGCGGCGGGACCTATATGCTCTCGCGGAAGGTTACCGCTGCCTGGCACGGCCGCTCCAACGGAAGCGGTGCTGAGGCGTCTGAGGCAGCACTTTGTCAAGGAGCGCCTGATTGGCTAACGGGACTCCGCAATGGTTATCTGGTAAGAGTCAAGGCCTCTGATTGGCCGCGCGGTACCTGCAATGCGTCAAGTGAGGATGCTGGGGTGCGCGTGCCAGCGCGCTGCCGGGGGGCGGCCGCGGCCCCGCCGGGAATGGCCGCCCGCTCCCGGCGCTGTCCGCAGCACCGGCAGCTCGGGCGCTCTCGGCCGCTCTGGGCAGCATCAGCAGTCCCAGCGGAAGATTTGCAGTCTCTTCGTACCGCTGCAGCTTGCAGCAACAGCAGTTGCTTTGCTGATGAGCCAGAACTGGCAGGAAGAAGCTGTTCCTCATTCAGTGACCTCTTCAGAGCAGGGTTTCTACGTAAAAAAGCGGCAGAAAGACAAAGCCGCTTTTCTCAATCCTTTTCCACAGCACAGGGTGCCAGAGGTGCAAAGCGTGGCAGAACAAACCTGCCTAGGCTGCCCTTCCAGTGGCCGTGTGAGCAGCAGCGTCTCTTAGACGACCGCTGCTCCGAGTGACAGCTTGAGTGGCAGCTGGGGGAGGATATGCACGGCCGAGTGATGACTGATCGCTGAAATAGCTTGCTGAAACCCTGCAAAATCTTTCAACACAAAAGAGACGCTTCTGCGAAATTAGCCCTGAACTGCGGAGCTGTGCCGAGGCACGCGAGGTCGGTCTGCGCCCATGCGGGGATGGGAGCCCCCTTGGCCTGGCCAAAACCCAGTGCAGTCCTGTTGCATAAGGAGCTGCAGAGATGCCTTAACCACTTGTGTGGGGTTTTTTGTATGTCTCTCATTGAAATGAGCATAGATAAACCAAATGAAAGTTGTCTCTGCACCAGTAAGAAGCTTACAGGACTGCTTTAAAAACGACGGGGGTTTCAAAACAGCAAGAACTTCCTGGCAGATCTGTGAAGCTTGATACAATAAGTGTCTAAAGGTAGAAGTAGGTTACAGACACTCATTATCTAAATTCTTCAGTATTTCTGTTACTGGAGTGTTTTCATTGCTCTTTTTCAAAATTCCATTCTTGAAGAGTGAGTCAGCAAGAAGCCTGTGAATGTGTCAGGGAGCAGTGTTTTAAATAAGGTTTTGCTGCTAAGCAATTATTAAAGAGCATGTTTACATATGAAAAAATTACAAATTTGCATATGAACATAACAGCCCAATTTTTTCACTCTAGTGAAAGTTTTTTCTGAACTGCAGTTTTCAGGATGACGATGTGTTAGTGTAGGAATTTTGAGTTAAATTCCTTGGTAATTTGTTTTCTTTGTTCCATTTGGTTACCTGGAAGTAGATCAGTTTTTAATTTAAAATTATCATGATTTCCTTTTCAGAGCCCTACTGAGTACAAACTGCTTTCCTGCTGACATGAACACTTCTTACTGTCTTTTTTCCAAAGAACTCTTTCAAAATATTAAAAACAATCTAACCGCTTCTCCTTGTAATCCTAGCCAAGTGGAACAAGTGCAATGAAACCTTTATGGGAAAATTATATGCCTGTGTAATTATAATGTTTATGAGTCCAAGTTTGCTAAAGTGAAACATAAAAGTCAGACTGCAAACTCATTCTGTTTCTTACCTGGTCATTTAAAGTATGATAATGTTTTTGAAAATTTCATGTTTGAACACCTTAGGTCTAAACCACGTTGACATCTTAACAAATGGAAAGGAAATTGGTATAAAGCATTGCTAAAGGCATCACCTTGTTCTGGAGTGTTTTCCAGAACAACCTAATATGACTCATAAAACAAATTTGTTGTATTAATTTACTATAATAATACTATAATGACTGTACAAATAATAGAACTACATTAATGACAGAGAACCTGGAAAAAGCTTTTAGAAGTGACATCATCCCATCATTCAAGAGGAAATAAATATACTAATTTTAGGTTAACACGTAAGTCATTGTTGCCCCAAACACTCTTCTGTAAAGCAGACTATTTAAAAGAAACCCTCAGGGCCTCGGTGTGTTCAGGGCAGCAATATATTCTTAGAGTTAGCTTAAAATGATCAAAAGTTCTAGAATGAATCAATGGGAAGAAAAACCAATTACGTGTTTATTAGAAAGAATTACATTGACCAAGTAATGGCAATTCCCAACCAATCAGCTATGAGTGATGATGCTACATTTTATTTTTTTCCAGGTGCTTTATGTAGGCCATGTCCAAAGCCATCAGAGTGTCTGGCAAAAGCAATATAGGGTAGTAAGCAGAGTTCGTTACAGTTCTAAATATATCACGTTCTAAACATTTTGAGTGAAAACATGCCCCAACAGTTTAAAGCAACCATTTAAAAACCAATGTATTTACAGCAATGTCATTACACCAACATCTGTTAAATGTATGCAGGTCTGCCATCTTATGGAGCCTGAATGGTACTGCCAAATCACAGAATGTGCAGCTACATGTTCATGTTAGGTGAATAGTTTGAATTTTTCCTTTACAGGTAATGCGTGCTTTCTTCTAAAACTTGCACTATTTGGATGCACTCTTTCTATTTGATTTGTATATTTGTGGAATTTATGTGTGCATACAAGTGTACACTTGTAAACACAATCAAATAAAGGTGTTACACTACAAGTTTAAGCATATAAAAGCTGGGAAGAGTTGAAGTTGGTTGTTCACATTATATGACAGCCTGGACCAACATAATCATAATCAGTTTTTTGGGGGAGCTCTGTTGGATCTGTGTGATTCAGCATTCAGGTTAGATGGTGCTGTTTAGTGAGTGGTTATTCAGAATTTTACTTTAGCATCTTTCTTTGGAGTGTGACTGTGCTGTATTTGCTGCAAGCTAGTCAAGGCCTGTTCTAAAGATGAAATTATTAACTTCTCCATGGGCTTTTCTACAGCTGTTATTATTAGAGTATAATATGAACAGTTTTGAATTAAGTTTGTACAGGCCAAAGCAGACAATCATCATGGCAATATTCAGCCCAAGTGATTAAATTTTGGCACAGCTATTAAAGTTGCTAAAATGATGCTTGTTTGTTTGTTTTATTTTCTATTTTTATAAAAGCTGATGTCAGATAAACTTGCTAAGTGACTTTTGGGTCAGCCAAAAACAAATGCACAAGAACACAAGAACGTTATAATTAGTACATCAAGTATTATTATACATTATTTTCTCTTTAACTGGTGCAAATTTATTTTTAGGTGAAAATGATTCTTCAGGAAGACCTTGTTACTTTGCTTTTGAAAAGTTTGAGGTAAGTTAGGAAAGTGGTTGATCTGAGTGGTTGCAATACAGTCAGATACTGTGGTGGAACACTTAAGATAAGAAAATTGTCCAACATTCAGTGAAGTTTTGCAGAGTTTTACCAGCTGCTGGAAAATCCAGTAGTGCCTAAACACGTAGAAGGATGCCTGCTTTTTCCCAGTTGTACCTGTATTAGAAAATATACATCACACTTTTTCCATTTAGTGTCATTTGCAAATATTCATATCTGTGCTGATACTCTTGATCAAAAAAGACACTAAGCACAAACTGCCATTTAGATTACTGTCAACTGAATTCGATGATGTGAAGCACTGCTTACCACCACAAAGAAGTCTTAGCATAATTGGTTTTCACTATTTGAATCAGTTTGTTATCATAAATCAATTTTTATTTGTCTTTCAGCTAAAGGTTTTACAGTTTCAGACAGATATTAGGTAAGCTTGGCATTTTTTTAGGAAGTTGTCTTGTGTCTCAAAGGTCATGCTACATGTTATTGTCTTAAACAGTACAAATAAGACACCTTTTTTTTTTTTCTGCCAACAAGAAGTTAGCCTGTAAATCTGTAAACCACATATGATATATGATAGCAGCAATTTTTTCTCTGTCCAAAATTTACATTATTTTGAAGTGGATAGTTTTGAAGGTGGATACAGACATTCAAACCCATTGCCATATACATGCTGCTGCCAGATACAGATACCAGAGGAGTATTTCATACTAAGTAATTCTCAAGGTGTGGTCAGGCAGGTGCATCCTCAGCATGACAGCCCAGTGAGCATGGTTTGCTAAGTTCATTGTTGCCATGTGTATTACAATGCAAATAATCTCCTGCTACTATAGGTAGCCACATATTTTTATCAAAGACGTTAGGAATGACAGCAAATTGGCATTAAGGGTATGATTTTTATGTGAGTGGCACTCATCTGACAAATTCCTAACAACTGCAATATTAACTCCTTTGTAGCTGCAATTATACAACCCTCAATATTATATTAAATAGTTTTAGGCCATCCTCCATTGAATTTGCCTCTCACCAAGTTAGGGAATATAGTTTCTAAGATTTGTCTTTGACTATTTTCAATGACTATCCAAATTTGATTAACCTGCAATATTCTAGTTAGTTGAAATAGAATACAAGATAAAGCACATCTGGCTTCTTGTGGTATGATTTCAGAGGTTAGTAATGGGCACCACAGTGATAAACTAGTGTGTCACTAAAGGTGCCAGGTACCTTGCCAGTCTTGTATGGAAGTTTGTAAAGCTGTTGGTAGCCAACTTGCAGTTCTGCCTACCACAGCTTTCAGTTCTTACAATATTGAGAATTTATTTGCTATAATTTTTGTATTAAATGAATTCAGTGTTTGTGGTCCTACACCAATTTCACCCAGCAAAGTTTGCATGGTATCTCTTTTATTTCTGTATCCTGTTGGTGTGTGTTTTTTTGTACCCATCATAGAGGAAGGTGCTGTATTCAGCACAAGTCTTGTTCCATGTACCAGTTGGCTAAGTTCAGATGTATGTTTGTCTCATTAATTTTGGAGCCATAATCATGGGCTCTCATCCATCATAAAGTTGCATTAAGTAAAGGAGTGCCTTTGTTAAGAGGTTGTTTTGGTTGTTGAATAAGCAATTCTAGTTGCATATAAGATACACAATCAGGAACAAGTGGTATCTTAATTGTGTCCATTTGCATTGACTTCCTATTGATTATTAGCAGTGTTTATAGAAAAATTGCTGAATATTATCACGTTGTTCTCATTGTTTACAATTTGAGTGTAATTCTTAGGAGCTCTTAAAGTATGATTGGTTGTCTTATGTGTCTATAGTACCCACTTAATTTTATTGATAAAATAATTTGCAGTTTCCCATTCAGTATTACCTACAGCTAAAGTCAGTTAATTTTAAGCTTTAGGATTAGTGTAACATTATCACCTACTATCAGTTCTTGACCCAGAGCTAATCTGTGAGAATGTATTTCCAGCCTTCAGGAAGGACCAATATAATCTACTTGCTGAGTTTCTCAGAGTAGTGTACCTTCCTTGAGATTGGCAGCCCGTTACTCTTTTGAAAGGTACTGTCTCATTAAAAAACAAAACAAAACAAAACAAAACAAAAGAAAACAACAAACCCAAAACCAACAAAAACCCCCACCAAAACCCAAGAAGGTATGTATTTACTATATGTATCACCAGCACCAGGACACAGGCAATCCTCTCCTTGCATCCTGTTGAAATAAATCGTAACTCCCTATGTGTCTTAGCCATTCTGGTACCCACTTACTAGCCTTTCTCAGAAGGTGTTTGAATGTTTTAGATCTCTATTAATACAGATTCTGTGCCCTCCCATCCATCGTGTACCTAAAACTGCAACTTCTTGACTTAGTCCCTGCTATGTAAAGTCAAAATATTTAATTCCACACTAATATTTAATTCCAGAAAATGCTTGATGGAACACTAATATTTAATTCCAGTGAATGCTGGATGATAGCATTCATACTTTGATGAACCATTTCCTCATGTACTCCAGTTAGAGTATGATCTGTATGCTGTAAAATTGTTACTTTGGTGGGAGGATTATTGATTCCAGCTCTTTAGCTAACACAGCACAGACAAAGATGGGGCCACTGTTAAAATATTGGGGTATGTGATAAAAGGTACATTGCCTTCCACCCTGAGTAATTGCAAACTGTGGTTTCTTTTGCTCTTGTATCAGGATCATAAAGACCTTTCTTGTGTAGCTGACACACCCACCCCCAGAAGAGCATTTACTGTGCTGGAAACCAGGGGCTGTTAAAGAACCAGTTGCTTTATGAGAAGCCCTACAGTCAACAGTTGTGTGCCATATCCTGTCTGGTTTATTAAAACTGGGCTGTTACACAGTGAGCTTTTTTTATAGTACTCTGTTGCTCCAACAGTTTGACTTAATTCTTTCACAGGTTTTATGGCAGGGGGTTATGGCTCTGAGCCTTCTTTCGTTGTGGTACTGGTTTGATCAGTCCCAGCACGTGATTGACTTCCTGGATGTAAACTTTAACTTGTTTGTTATCCATCCTGGCATCCATGACAACAAAACAGACTGATACAGAGTGGGGGCTCTCAGGATTAATCCATTGGATTGGGGCAGGCGTTTACTGCTAATGGAAGTATCAAACTTCTGTCCCCAGTCTGATGTGGTGTGGACATGCTTCCACACCATTTGCCACACCAGTGGCACCATTATGCCACTTCTGTACCTGTGTCCATGCATCATATACTGAGGTCCTGAGTTTTAACTTGCTTCCCTCATCTCCAGAAGAAGAAGCTAGTTTCATTTCCTCATATGGCTACACTTTACCTATGTCACATTTCTGAACTTGTCTTGGTCCCAGAGTCTTGCAAAAGGTGGCTCTTGGCTAGGTTTCTACAGAGAGGGCCATGATGGTGCAGAGGCAAGAGTGCTAATCTGGACAGCAGCAAAACTCTGCCCATCAGCTGGTGGAGGAGCTTCCAGGTTGCAGAGAAACTCTCTGTGCCAAAGCATAATGGAGATACAGGAAGACTTCACACTATGAATGGTTAGTGACTGCGTGGAATGACTTCTGCAGTGGTGATTGTTCCACAGCTTGTGTATCTTCTACTTGTGGCCTTCTTTGCAATTAAAAGAGTGTTAAAAAAGACAAAATAATTTGTTAATTAATGGGATTATCAATCTTGTCTGAATCAGAGATCACTTTAGTGCTTAAACCCTTGCTGTGTTTCTCTGCTTAAAGTGGTCAGAATCTGGCCCCAAATACAAGTGAAAGCAGAAGGGGGATCAAGTTTTTGTTCAGAGCTGCATTTAAAAAAAAAAATCTAGCTGCAGAGATTAAAACATAGTTGAGTTACTACGTTGAGAAAAAAAATCTATAAATTGGTGTCATTATTTATGTGCCTTATTCTTAAAATGGTAGTTACTGATAAAGCAAAATGACAAAAAAAATTTGTAACTGAAATTGGCATCCACTCTGCTTTCTTCAGCTCCAAAACAGCAGGGAGATCATAGAAAGCTCAGAGGTTGCTATGTAGAAAATACTGTTCTGCATCAGACTGGAGATCAGACTGGGTCAGTATCTTTCTACATCTATGGCAAGATAAGGACCTTGAATGAATTACTTGCTGCTGGTAAGAGGAATCAGTTCATCCCCATGAAGGATTGTATTCTAACAGTAAAAGATTTTCTTAACTTTGAAGCATGACTTGTTAAAAGGCTTCCAGAATTACTGTGAACAATCACAGCTCCAAGTACTTTGGTATTCATGCACATTTTAGAATTTACTCAGTTCTTGACCTTGGTGGATTTCTGTAGCAATATGTTTCACCATGCAATTACTTATTGATTTGGCAAACAGTAATCAAGCACATTCTTTCTTCTACAAAAATGATGCAAGATTTTATTACCATTACAAAAGAGGAAACATTTCAGCTCTCTTGTTTTGTCTGAGAAACTGGCATACAGCAAACTGCCTTCAGCTGGCTGTATCTTTTAGATCAGATTGTCTTAAAATGTCATATTGGGATTCTGGTGTTAATTTGCAATGTCAACATGTCTTAGGGTGGGTCTACCTTAGTGTTTTAATGAAACATAATGTTTTCTGGGTTTTTTAATAATTCAAACCAGTTTCATCTAGTTATTTTCAGCTTCCATAATTGTGTGTATTTTTTTTACCTTCATGCATAAATCAATGACTATCATTTAATATAACATTTGGTTTACTTCTGTTTAACAATAAAAGCCTGTACAGAT